CCCCCTGCGTCCCATCAGTGTGGACGCACTAGTTCGAATTAGCAAAACGCTAATTCGAACTAGTTTTTAGTTCTAGACGTGTTAGTCCGAATTAGCTTAGTTCGAATTAACTAATTCGAACTAAGTTAGTTCAAATTAGCGCTGTAGTGTAGACGTACCCTTCGATGGTTTAAAAATTCTATAGCAATACTTTTATTCTATATTATTATTCAGTGGTGTTTACAGTAACTTCTATAGGGCCCTATTGACTTTACTGTTACACTCTATGCAGGTTGCCATATGGCACTCAAGTGCTTAGCTGGATGTTTTTTGCTCACATGCATAAGGTCTGACTGACTGTTCTATGTGGGGCTGGAAGTGATTTTTCCCCAGGGTTTTTCACTTTTCTCTGCATCATGTGGCATGGGTCACTTGTCAGGATCACCTGAGTATATCTCACTTAATCAATTCCCTGTCAATGCAGGGGCCCCAACATAGGTGTGCTTCAGTCCCTCCTATTCTCTATTGTGTCATAGAATAGTAGTTCTTTGCTCTAATTTAAATTGGGGTGTGCTCTGGTCACCTGATCTAGACAAATTCTATGGCTGTATATCACTGTGAAATTGTCCTTAACTCCCCTTTCCCATCAAAGGGCCCCTTGTTACAAACGCTATGCTCATGAGTAATTTTATCCTTGAGAGCCGACCCACTGAATTTACTCTTTAGGATCACAAAGCTTAGTCCAGCTGAACTGCTGCCAACGGGTAAAGTTACTCATGTGCACCCGTGTTTGAAGGATTTGGTTGAGCACATTTTGTTTAGTTGGATAAATGTCAAGCAGGGGTTTAGAGTCAATGCAAAACAGCATAAACCTGAACTGATGCAGCTTGGCCTCATCAGTCATTTTATCCAGCATATGTCATGTCTTCCACACACTGAGTCCGTAAGTGTTTTTGTATCAGGCGCAAAAGAGGCTTTAAATGTAGAAGGAAAACAAATCTCATCTAAGGGAACAATTTTTCTTTTTCTCCCCTCAACAATGTCAACAGAAATTGATGAGAAAGTTTGTTGTGCTGCAGAAACATTTACTGCTTAGCAGTAATAGTAACTTTTCCCCGTCTTGAGTTACTGGAGAACTTTTTCCTTTGAGGTCTGACATCAATCTTTAGTGCTGCTATTGTATATGACACTTGCCAATAAAAGTGAAGGCAAACAACAGACTGCAGTGATAACTACCTCAACCTAGCTTATTCCAGCCTAAAATATAACACAGGTTTCTGTGTCTGGACCAGCATAAAAAGAGCTAAAATGCTCTTTGCAGTTTCTCTTTTCACAATGCTTGTATTTATTAAAAATTCTGTCCTACCCCCTCAGACTAACGCCAAACCAATCTACAGAAACATTAGGGATGGGCCTATAACAACACCCTGGATCTTTTGCAAGGTTGGATCCAGAACCTCTGCATGTAAAGCATGCAACTTTACTGCTGTGCTAACAGAACAGTTCCATTACACAGACTCATGATCCTCTTTACATGGTGCAGTCCCTAGAGGGAGAGAAAGATCCCATACAGGCCCAAACTAGAAAACCAAACTTTGCACCTCCTCCATGTCTGGGGAATTTTGGTTCTAGAACTCAAATTTCTGGATTCAGGCCCATCTCCATTTTTTTTAAATGAGGTATTTATTTGTTTAGATTCTTTCAACACAGGGGAACAACTGTGCTAACTAATGCCAATTCAACAGAAATCATGCTATAGTCCAGCCTCCTGCTGATCTACAAACTGATTCTACTGCAGAACTGTGACTATGTTGTATGCAGACACCGACCTCTTCACAACCCTGTTTGGGCTTAGCCATATTTAAGAGTGATTTCAAACACAATTTCAAGTCCTAGGATGGACAGGGCCTTAATGCAAGCTTTGGCAGCCAGCTGATTCTGTTATTATAAACACTACACTAAAGTTCTATCATCAGTTATAGGATCCATGTGTATTAGGGAATTGTGTTATATAAAACAGTAGTGCACTGAGTATGCTGTTATATAGCATGGTCTTTAAGATTGTTTTGGAATCAAGTTACTGTCCTGGTCTAAGCTACAAAGCGTACATCTTCTAACCTGTATTATGATGTCGTTCCAGTAAAGAAAACTTCAGTTCTAGTATTCAGACCTCTAAAAAAAAAAATTATGCTTACGTGACCCACAATATTCTGTGATTTCACTGCTCTTGTAGAGTGGCAGTAAGACTGTTTGCTTGTATGGAAAAATCCAGCACAGAGTAGTGTGAAATTTTGCATATTCGCCTACAGTAAAAATCAGAAGTCACTGTTTCCACAGGAAACAAAAGCAACCAGAACAGAAAGACATGCTAACAAGCAACATGACTCTCCCACATGGTATTTATTAGCAATACCAAAAACTGCACACATTGCTACCATCTTCTGTTGTGGATAAAACTTATCTGTGGTGTCCAACACACTAGCCACATGTGTCTACTTGGCTATTTGAGTGTGGCTAGTTCACTATAGTACAGGAGTGGGCAAAAGGGCCTCCACGGGCCAGGTTCAGCCTGCCAAGAGGGTTGATCCTGCCTGGAGTGGGGGGGAAGCACACAAAGTTTCCTCCGCCTTAGAAAGGGCGCACGGCGCTTAGAAGCACCACTCACTCCTGGCAGGGTGGGAGGAATGCTCCCCTGCTCCCAGACTAATCAGGGCCTGGAGGTGGGGAGAAGTGCACAAAGTTTCCTGTACCCTGCTCCTGCCTTGCAAGGAGCACGCGATGCTTAGAAGTGCCACGTGTGCCAGGCGGGGCAGGAGGAGATTTTGTGTGCTCCCCCGCCCCAGACCCTAATTGGCCTGAGGGCTGAAGGGGGAGCACGTGAAGACTCTTCCTACTGCCAGGGGCATGGGCACTTAGGGGACTTCTCTAGCGGGGGCGGATGGGGGGGACAAGACTTCAGACGGTCCCCCACGCCCAGACCAATCATGGTCTGAGGGCGAGGAAGCAGGGAAGTATCCTGGCCCCACCCCTTCCAGAGCGTCCTGGGGCTACTTCAAACATTTCTGAAGTGGTCCCCGTAAAAAATTATTGCCCACCCCTGCTATAGCAGTAGCCGTTATAGTGGCGACTGTTTCAGAACTGGTTGGACACCACAATTTTATAGTATTTACATAGCATCATGAACCATGTGATGTTGGTTCTGCTATGTGGTTTTTAAGCAAATTTTAGGGTGCTTTGGGTTGTTATTGCAGCAAACTGGACTACTCTTTTCTAATGATTGACTACTATTAACCTTGTCAATAGCTCTTTGATGAGTTGGGGCCAGGAAAGGAAGAGAACCACAAGAGCAATTCACACAAAAAAGGAAGAAGAAAACATAAAGGAAAAATAATGGAGCTAGAAATGGACAGGAGAGGCAGAGAAAATGAAAAAGTACTGCAAAATACTGGAACCTTTCTGAGATGCAATACATGAGAACAGGGAGCATGCATCCTTCAAGCCATCATGAAGGATGGAAGTGTCTCCAGCAGAAACCAAACACATGGGGAATTACTGCCCTTCACAAACCCCATCTCTCTATTCCACATGGAAATCTAACTCAGAAAAAGTAACTTTCAGTCCCTCGGATATGTAAGTGCTGAGAATCAAAAGAGTTCCAATTGCTTCTTTAAAAGCTTGCATTCTAGAGAAGAACAAAAAGCCCATTGTTTAAATAGAAGAATCAGTCTCTATTTCCACCCCCTCACTGACTCTATTGGTTCTTTTTTATTAGCAGCTGTTAATACAGACAATCATTGAGTGTGCTGGTGTGATGCAGCTGTTCCACACATGTTATAAATAAGGGCCAGTCAGCTCATCTTATTTTTAGCACTGCAAAACAAAAATACAGAAAGCCACTGAAAATCCCCATTTATTTACTCAAATGTAACCTCTCTCTCATTCTCTCCTTCTGCAGGCAGAGTTGCATTTAACAGACAAGGAAATTACACTGCTTAGAAAAAAAGGGCAACTTTGTTCTTTCCCGTCTGATCTTATTTATCTGACGCTGTTATTAGTAAGTGTGGATTCTTCTTCTTCTTCATCATCAAGAAAATTGTATCACTGTACTAAAAGCAAAAGTTTTAATTTGTGTATTTCTCATGAAAAATATTTGGTTGTACTTTTTTTGTAGCATTTTCCCCAAATGCTAATGAATTTATCACAGCAATCTTGTTTTAAATCTTTGTTTTTCAAATTTTTGTTGTTAAGTGTTTCAGAACATTTGGGGTATGTCCACACAGTAGCTCATACCTCAAAATAAGCTACCCAATTTCACCTATGCTGTCTACACAGCACTTATTTTGAAATAAATTGCTATTCTGCTGATTTCCTTAATCCTCGTACAACAAGGTTTACAGGAAGTCGGAATAAGAAGCCCATTATTTTGAGTTTATTTCGAAATAAAAGCCTTCTTGTGTAGATGGTGCATAATGTTATTTTGGAATAATGGATTTATTCCTAAATGACTCTGCTGTATAGACGTACCATAGGAGATCCTCACATGGAAGGAAATTTGTAAAAGCCAAGGGCCAGATTATTATCTGAGTTACAATCCAGAAATATACAGACATAACAAAGAATCGTATCCTCAGTGTTATCATTCACAATGTTCAAACTTTATAGTTAATAGCTCTGACACGCATAACAGACCCAGGGGAGCCAATAGACTAACCGGGACCTTGAACAAGGTAGGGGTTGGTCTTGCTTCACACCCTGAGAAGGGGGAGAATCTCAGGCACAAGAGGCAGGGCTGGGGCATCCAGCACTCAGAGCCACCCAGAGCATGCCACATGGCACTTCGGTGACGATTTAAAGGGCCCTGGGCTCTTCCCTCAGTAGCAGCAGCGACTGGGAACGCCAGGCCCTTTTGAATTGCCAGGCCCTGGGGCAATTGTCCCCTATGCCCTCCCCGCAGCGGTGGGCCCAAATTCACTTGTATGTTCTAATGCCTACTATTAGACCTTGACAAAGCCATCGCTTACCTGTTTTCTGGATCTGACACAGCCATGTTGCGTGTAACATAGCACATTTTGAGTGGAATTGTTTTTCTGTCTCTGTGGATGGAGAGAGAAAGCTGCGACAGTGGGTCAGAAGATACACCTCCCAACCGAGGAGATTCAGGTGGAGGAGTTTCCCACCCAATTTCTGAAACTGGAGAACCTTTCTTCACATACGGGGTTGCTTCTCGCATGTACTTCACTATTAAAAAAAGCAAATAAACAAACACTCAATAAGTTCATAGGTCCAATGTGAATTCTTACAATTATTATTGTTATTCATTGTTTCTATTGGGCAATCCCATAACTTCTTTTTTGTACTACAGAATATTGTAAAACAAAAAATCCAGCTTTAATGTAAAGGCATCCAGTCTGTCTTGACTTAAGGCAGTGGTTCCCAACGCGATGCTCGTGGGCACCATGGTGCCCGCCGGGCCATTTCTGTGCACCCGCCGAGTGATCAGGGCCAGCCCCGCCCCCAGGTGCGTGGTGCCTGGGTGGTGTTGGCCCCTGGGTGCACAGCGTATGGGCAGCACCGCCCCAGGGTGCACGGCACAAGGTCTGTGCCGGCCCTGGGCGCGTGGCATATGGGCGGCACCGGCCCCTGGGCGCGCTGCACAAGCATGGTGCCGGCCCCGGGTGTGCGGCACAGGGGCGGCGCCAGCCCGAGGCACACGGCACGTGAGTGGCCCTTCCCCCTGGTGCCCGGCGTGTGAGTGGCCCTGCCCCTGGGTGCCCAGCAGTCCCAAAAGATTGGGGACCACTGACTTAAGGAGTTCAATCCACATATCCCCACATAAATTGTTGCAAAGGTTAACTACCTTCCTTACTGAAAATTTGCACCTTATTTCAGGTTTGAATTTGCAGAGTGGTTGTAGCCAGGTTAGTCCCAGGATATTAGAGATGAGGTGGGTGAAGTAGACCTGAAGAAGAGTTTTGTGCAAGCTCGAAAGCTTGTCTCTCTCACCAATAATGGTCAGTTCAATAAAAGACACCACTGGATCTCGCCACATCTTTTTCATGACAGATAAAAGAGCTGCCTACTATCAGGCCTTTCTCTTTCCAGTGCAGGTGCTTATAGACCATGATCAAGTAACCTTTTAACCTTTATAATGATATAGATTGTTCAGCCTCGTGAATAAGCCACCTCCCTGTGCAACATAAATTACACTGACCTAATCAAAGTGCTTACAGTGGCAGAAGAACAATGCAGTTGCGCTGCTGTACGCTCCCTAGTGTAGCCATAACCATAGTTTACACTACAGATCACTTACATAATCCACACTCTGGAACAACATAAATTATACCCACCTAAGCACCAGCATGGATAGTGCTGTGTCTGCTGCTGACATAGCAACTGCCTCTCACAGAAGCAGGAGTTATTAAACTGACAAGAGAACTCTCATCGGCTTTGAGCATCCTCATGAAAAGGGCTACAGCAATGCAGCTCCATGGCTGTAGATAAGGGCTATGTCTACATTATCACTTTTGTTGAAAATGCTTCTGTCAGTCAAGGGTGTGAAAAAAAACAATTTTTCTAGTTTTGACATGGCCTACCGTATTTTCCGGCGTATAGGGCGACTGGGTGTATAAGACGACCCCCTATCTTTTTAATTAAAAGATAGGGTTTCATCTTATACCCCAGCGCCCCTCCGCCTCCTTTGCTCCCGGTGTCCCTGGTCTGCTGGAGATGGTCCCCAGCAGACCAGAGGCACCGGGAGCAAAGCCGCCAGGAGCCCGCCGGAGCCCCTCCGCGGCTTTGAAAGCCTCGGGGGAAGCCGGCGGGGGGGCATCCCAGGCGCGCATGGGCTGCCCCCCCGCCGGCTTCCCCCGAGGCTTTCAAAGCCGCGGAGGGGCTCCGGCGGCGGGGCATCCGGCGTACAAGACGACCCCCGATTTTTGGGGGATGTTTTTTAACATCAGAGGTCGTCTTGTACGCCGGAATATACGGTAAGTATTTTTTTAATGGATTATTTTGAAACCAGAGTTTTTCGAACTACCTGATGAAAGTAAATTCCAATAGGTTACTAAACAGTGTACTAGTGATATGCCAGCATTTGGTTGCCAAACAAAACTTTGGGCCCAATGCTGTAACTACTACATCAGTGCAATTCCCACGCTCTTCAACGGGAGCTATGTGCACATAGAAGCAACAGGACTAAAATTAAGAAAAGGGTAAAAAACTGAAGCTGAAGTTAAACATTTGGATCGGAATCTAAACATTAAGCAGGAACAGTAAAATGTGAATTTAATTCCCAAGATAGGGAACTGAAGCAAAGACTGTTCCCTAACTGCTGCCAAATGAGTTTCCATGCAATGTAATGGTGACATCATGACAAGCTGCTGCACTATTTCACAAGCCTCTATGAAAAGGCTGAAGGGAAATATATTACCAGGCGAACTGGTTAGAAAAACAACATGTTTTCCAGTGATCTGATAACCAAATGCAGTGCAGTCTAAGAAAATTCCCATGAGGGAAAAATTCTGTAGCATCTGTCTGGTAGTTTTAAACTCCCTTAGACATTCAGCTCCCTTAAATTTCAAAAGGAGATTGGTATCTAATTTCCACAGGTAATTCTGAAAATCCCAGACTTTAATACAAAAAGAAAAAAAAATCCACTGACTGAATTTGATAGAGAATTACATCTCTGCCAAAGAATTCTATAGGATGATTTTAAAAAACTGTAGAAGGAACAGTGAGGATCTAAAGTCTACAGATCAATTTCTACTGAATCCGGTTTTTGCAGAACACTCTTGGTTTCATACCTATTCAAGTTCTAGAGAGTTTTTCCAGGGGGGATTTAATGTTCTTGTGTTTTCAAATATTTTGAGAGCGAGCTAGAGAGAATGCACGCCTATAAAAATGATATATTGTAGCTCTGTTGGTCCCAGGATATTAGAGCGACAATGTGGGTGAGGTAATAGCTTTCAGACCAACTTCTATTGGAGAGAGACACAAGCTTTCAAGCTTCTGAGACCTAAAAATGTGCTCTGTGTAGTTCAAAACCTTGTCTCTCTCATGTCAGAAGCTGGTCCAGTAACAGATATTCCCTCTCCCACCTTGTCTCTCTATAACAGGGCTATCAACACTCAGCCCCGAACAAAAAAATAGTCAATATAACGGTCTTCTGTTGATATGCGTTTTAGTAGTTAAATTCCTGGACTGTCATTGCTCATTAAAAGTGCTGTCATATGGGTGGAAATTGGGTAAATATTGCATTTTATTAATATCAGCAGAACTGACTTAAATGGGGCCTGTGTGTTATGTAGTCTTGCCTTAATCTTTGTATTTATGCCCGTCATTGTGAAATAAGCTATTTGCATATATTTGCATATATATTTGCATGTACATGAAACCACACTTAAGTTGCGGCCCCCAGCACGTGCTGTGAGTATCATTGTGGCCCCTGGAGTTTCCAAAGTCGAGTAGCCCTTCTCTATAACAATGATGGCATGTTACAAAGAAGGTTTCATGTTTGTAATGGATGGCAAAATTTGACACTATGTATATATCATATTTTTGTATCATGTGTCTTTCTAATCCATGCAGCACCACTATTCAATATGTCCACTGAATTAATGTGGTCACATGGGCATAACTATGACTAGAATAATGGTAATATACATTATAGGCCTAATCATTTCTGTTTCATACTCTGGTATCAAAGGGGCCTATACCCACTAACTTCAATGGGTGTTTTACCATTCACTTCAAGGTTAGGCCCCTAATACTCAAAAACTATAATACAGAATACAAATACTGATTATTAATAGAAAAAAGAGAAAGTAATGACTGCTGATAAATTCCATGTTAGGAACAGAAAATACCAGAGATGGTGCTTCTTCTCAGATACAGTGACACACAAGTTTCTAATAGTGATTGAAAGAAGCAGCAGAAATCACTGAGATGTTTGGTTGTTGTTTATTTTTTAATCTAAGGTCTACAATGGACCAAACCAAAAGCACTTAGTAAAAAGGGATAGGAAAAGCCACTGAATAGTATATAAGAGCAGCTGTTATCATGAAGTATTAACATCTCATTCATTTTCTACCGTTTTCTTTAAGAAACCAGAGTGTGTATTCTTAGTACGTGGTTTAATCCACAGGGACTGAAAATCTAGTCATTACATAATTATAACTAGATGTATTGGAAGACTGTAATTTCAGTCTGGAGCTGTCTAAACTCATCCTGTTGATGCTACAACCCAGTGCCAGAGAACCTTGTAGTCAGTACTAATTAATAATCATGCCCTTTTGCCGTACTGCAAATTCATAATTGTGGTCAAGCAATTAAAATTCCATTCTGCAGAACCAACCTCCTCTCATGTCCCCCCCACCAAAAAAAAAAAAAAAAAAAGGTGAAAGCGGTAGTCAAATGAATTAATCCACTGACATATGTTCAAATGCTTTTTTTTTTTTTTTTTTTTGTAATTTGGAAGGCAGGCAATGCAGCTTCCAAAAAAAGCACTTCATTTACACACAGTTCTGCCAAGTCCCAGGTCCCCACAATTAAGTCTTTGTAACTGTGCACAGATGACAAAAGAAAATATCTTAAGACGAGAGTGTAACAGGTAAATCTTGTCAACTTTTCTATCATACATGCTCCTGAAGAGTCTAACTCCTATAGACATATTCAAATTGTTCTGTTTAAAAAACAAAAGAATGGCCTTCAGTAAATCTCCTTCATTACCACGGAAGCATGGCCAGGAAGTGGAGGTTGACAAAGAGAAACTGAAAGGAACAAAGTGCCCTAACCGGCTCAAAGAGAGAGTCTCAAGACCTTGCAGGGAGAGTTAGAGGGCATGCAAACTGTGTGCATTCTCTTAAGGAAGCCCTTTTTAATTGCCAACTTCATTAGTTGCTTGGTAAACAAAAAAATAAAACCTAAAAGACTATTTTCCAAGGTGTGCAAATGCTAATGGAAAAATTCACCCAAGCAAGAAACTTCATTGAAGACAGTCATTCAAGTTATCCTAGATCCTGTTTCCAGATGGAAACTTTTTTCTTATTTATCCTCTCTCAGGATGAGCTAGCTCTGTGCAGAGAGCCAATGCAAGCCCCTCATAACAATTAAGACGCCCATCAGCCTTGCATTCAGGGCCAAATCTTGATACTGCGGAAGCCCATAAGGATGGAATCCAATGAGAACAGTATTTAGCCTTCTTGCTTAAGTGGATTGAAGGGCATTATTTTGCACTGGCT